AACTGATGCTGGCTCCACAACTTGCTTTTTCCTTTCAGACTGTGTTTTTTTTTCTTGCCTTTAATATGTGTACTATTTTATCTAAAGCTGGACATGATGTATTGGGCAATGGGGTATATTGGGTAACAGGAACTGAGGTAAATATGTTGTAATGGTGTGGTTTTGTTAGTCTGGCTAGGAGTTAGGCTGTATTTAATGTAGCTATAGGTGTCTTAGATTTCAACTTTCTCTAGTGACCTTATTTTTATCTCCCCTATTGATTTGGGGCTTCCCTAAGAACTTCTTTCAGAGGATGTGTCTTGCAGTTATTCCAACAGTAACGCACTAGATCCCTGTTCATATGGGGGTAAGTTGTGGGACAGAGGAAGCACTGTATCATGCTATGATTGCATCTCATTCTTTTAATGGGTCTGTTTCCCTGTGTTGTGACTTTCACAGGTGCTTTACTTTTCTTCTCTCCTCAGGTGGGAGAGGAAATCTAGAGGACCCCAGAGAGGGGAAAATGCCCTTCTCCAGGTGACTCTGGTTGTGTTTCCCTTGGAGAGTAAGCCTTTGCTACTGAGGAAGCTCTGGAGGTGCTTCAGAACTATTTCTCTTTCCCTCCTCCTGATAAAACCACTAGATCTTTCTCAGATCTTTACTGTGGGTACCCAGAGAGACAAACCCATATAAGTATGCTGCCTTCCCAAGACCACAGCCCCCAGTTATTTGTCATTCTCAAATTAGTCCACACTCAGCCTCCATCGATTTGTTAATATTAACACTTAAGCATTCTCATCAGTTTTTGGCTCCAGTGGGTTCTCCTGGTAAGCATATATTAGCTCTAATTCTCTATATGTGCTTGTCTCTCCAGATTTCAAGGTAGCAGTTTGCCTTGAAACATCAGTTCTGACAGGTCCAAGAAACATCACTGATTCTCCTTGCATTCATCTTAAAGAGAATGTCAAGTATGTTCAGTAACATTTGCTATAGGCTTTTTGGTATATGGCTCTTATCAAATTAATCTTCCATTTGCCAGAAGTTTTATTATAAATAGGATTAAATTCTATAAAATGCTTTTTCTGCATTAGGATAATTATAATTTTTTCTCCTTTAGTCCACAGATGTAGTGAATTACAGTGATGAATTTTTCTAATGACCCACCCTTGCATTCCTGGGGTAAATACCAGTTAATTATGATGTATTATTGCTTTTTAAATCCAGGAATCCACTCTTATCTTTATTTTTTGTTAAAGTATAGTTAGTTCACATGTATTATTTTTTAATACACTGTTGGATTTCATAGTTTGTATTTAGGTTTTTTGTGCCTGATTCTATTTTCTTAGTATTTACTCTAGATTTTAGCATGGATACTTAAGGAAGATTGAGGTTATTCAGTGTCTTTAGCCTCCTCAAGAACATTCTAAGGATCAATTTATATGCGATCATTCTCCAATATTTTTAGTTCATGACTATATTTTTTAACTTTAAAAATTAAGCATTATTATAGTTTTATAATCTGTATGTTAATATTTACTAATTTTTAAAACTTTCATCTTTTGCTCACTTTCTTAATTTCAGCCCTTCCATCTAGGATCATTTCCTTAACAATAGCAAACACTGTAAATGCTATCTGCCAGGCCCTGTTCTGAGCACTTTAAACATATGACCTCATGCTAATCCCCCAATAAATTCCCTGTAAGTCATGTACCATAGTCCTTCTGTCTGAAGAACATCCTTTAGAATTTCTTCCTCTGGATCTCAGATTTTGTCTGTCCTTTTGTCTTTTTCTGTTTTGTTTTTGTTGTTTTTTTTGAAAGAATTTTGCTGGTTAGAAGCAGAAAAGTTCTTAAACTCATGAGAGTGTATGGGATAGCTCAGGAAGAGCAGAACGGAAAAGAAGAAACAGAACCCTTGGGAGCACCAGAGCTTACGTATTGGTCTCCTGAGCTTTCCCCCAAGGAATGGTGCTCACTGGAACTGCAAGGCCAAGGGCCAGGGCCAGAGCAGGGGAGGCCACACTGGAGGACTCTTGGGCTGGGGGAAGCATGTGCTATGACATTGCTATATTTTGTCCATCTTCTGTACTCCTAGGCCCGGTCCTAGGAGGACAATGGCACTGCCCATAAGTGACTAAGTGACCCTCCCTGAGGCAGGGAGGGGAAGGGTTATTCCAGGGGTCAATGATTGCTGTAGTTCACGGCACTGGAGGTCAATGGCTATGTCTACTGTTTGTATCAGGTGTGGCTGAAATAAGCAAGACTGCCCCAGCCACATGCCTGAGCAGAGCTGCTGGAACCAAGAGCTCAGGAAGAAACAGTGGGTTGAAAGCAGTGGCCTTAGCTCCATCTTATCGTCCCCTCTAGTTGGCTCTGGGCACCTCTTGTGGAATCTGTGAGAAGAGAAGGCTTTGAAGCCTGTAAGCTGCCTGAAACAGTCAGATTTCATGGCCCAATGACATCACTGTGGCAACAGAGTTCCCAAAGAGGAGTCAGAGGCCCAGGTCTGATCTTTCAGGCCTTTTTCTGAGATGTAATTCTCTGTCCTGCCTCTCAGCCAAGGCATCTTCCTTCCTCCTTTAGTCACCTGCAACCCCATTTTCTCTTCCCTAGAATCAAGAACTGTCTTCAGAAAGCAACACATAAAACCATTTTCAAACTGACTTTAATCATTTTTTGCTGCCCAAATACTGTACATGCAGAAGCCATGTGAAGAATTTTCTCCTCAAGGGAATTGGCAAGAATGTTGTTAAGAAACAGCTGGCCGTCCTGCCCAGCCGTCCACCTGCCACCTGGGAGCCACAGCGAGTTTGGAAAGAAGCTGCACATAGAAAATGTAGAGAGCGCAGATATAAAAGGCTAACTGCTTATCTAAACAGTGTGCTTGTCAGCCCTATCAGCTCGCTCTCTCTGCAGGATGCATTTGGAAATTCTAAAAAAGGGGTTCCTGCTGCTTGTGAATTTACATTCTAAAGGAATAGATAGAACAATCAGGCCAACTTTTCCTAAGAAAGCAGCCACTCTGCCTGCTGAGATGGTGTCTGGTAAAAGACATGCTGGAGAGAAGAGTGATGTTTAAGAAGCAAAATACTTTGAAGGGAAATAGGTTCCCTCTCTCCTCCCATCAGAGAGCATTTCCTTTAAGATTCTCCCACTTATGTCATTCTAGAAGCAGAAATGAGGACCAACCCAGCCTCGTCTGCTGGTGGGGATACTGACCTACGCAGGTGCAGCTGAGGCTGCGACGTCACATCAGCACCTTGGAAATTGTCCATTGTAGACAACCCTTAATTATGTCTCATCATTATACAGGAAGAGAGGAGCAACGACCCACGAAGATGTGGAAGCACAGTCTGGTAGGATTCCCAGAGTTCTTCTCGGAAGCAGCATCTGGGCATGGACAGTTGAGGACCTGCACCCAGCTGAGGGCACCTAGGGCTGGAGGGAACCAGCCCGTGGAACCGGGTGCCGGGTGCACCAGGCTCACAACCCTCATCAGCTCCAGATCAGACTTTTGAAACCTAGAGGGGAACCCTGGAGTAACTAGCAAATGCTCTGGTTTTGCAGATGAGGAAGTTGAGGCCCAGAAAAGGGAGGAGCCTTGCACAAGGTCACAGTTTCTGGCAAAACTGTATGACTGTATGTTAGAGCCTTCGATTCTCTGCAGCCAGCTGTCCAGGGCATTGACCATTGGGACAGATGCTCTGCTGCCCCTGGAATTCCCAGGGCCCATTTCTGTTTGCCAAGCTCTCTGGAACCTAGTCCCAAGGACCCTTCTGGCATCAGTGTGAACTCCTTAGGAGGCTCAAGGCTCCTGGCCTTACTGGCCAAGTTTCCAACCAGAGCCCAGGAAGGTTTTCCCCAAACAGTAACACTCATGCTTTTTGATGAGCATCCGCCCCAAGCCAGTCTGGGCCCCTGTGAGAATGCAAGTTTCCCTCACAGGCACAGCCTTGCTGTGCCCACAACAGCCCAAGTTCAGGGTCAAGGGGACGGGGGAGTTGCTTTGCTACATGGAAAGATTAAGCCCTTTTTCAGAGAACAAGGTTCCACCATCAGGCAGGCCGATGCCTGAGCCACACGTGTGCAGCTCAGCCGGCAGAGCTGGTGCCCGAGGAGGCCAAGTTGCTCTCTTTGGCATCAGTGACATTGCTCTGAGATGCTCAGGCACTCTTTCAAAATAACCCTGGGCTGATCCAGCCCCCATCAGGCCTCACCGGATCGGGCAGGGGTCCCCTGCCCTTCAGTCATGATTGCTTTGTTTTGTTTTTCCCCATCTCTTCTGACCTGAGTGAAAAGCAGACTTGAGGGAGAAGGCGGGTGAGGAGTCTACATTCCGGGCTCCTCCCTGATCATTCAGTGAACGGTAATCCAGGACAGGAAGCAGCATTTTCAAGAACCTCTTTCCGTGTCAGGATATTGGAGAAGAAAACACCAGGGAGAGGAAGAGAAGGGGAGGAGTTGGCAGGGCAGGCCTCTTTACCCTCTTCTTGCAGCCACAGCAGAAATCCCGCTGGACCACCTCCTGGCTGCGAAGGATGCACCACCACTCTCCACCATCACGCAAAGGCAGCAATTTCTTGCATGGGGTTTGCACAGTGCAGGAATCAATCAGAGAAGCAGAAGAGCAGCCTTCCTGAAGCCCTGCTGCTTTCTGGGCTGAGGAAGATGGGGAATTGGAGGTATCCGGAGCACTGGAGCCCCGGGGAGGTGGGGGGAGGAGCACGGCATCTCCTGGGCAGCAGGGTGCAGAGCAAGAGCCCTGGTTACAGGTCAGGGCTCCTGGTAACTCAGTCTAAGATTGTGCTACATTTCATTTCCAAAGAAGTACCCTTGGAGGGCTCTGTTGTCTTTAAAAGGGGTTGGGGGCTTCTGCACTCCTCAAGGCTGGCAGTGAAAGAAGAGCTCAGGCATGCTTGCCCTGGTGGGGGTCACGTCCCTGGGAGCCCAGTGATCCCACGAGTGATGAGCTGTGGGGATGCCCCCTCTGTCGGCCCCCTGAAATGCTGGCAGTGCCTGGGGCTTGCGGCATTACTGACAGCCTCCCGAGAGCTCCTTTCCTAGGAGTGCGGGGTGATGGGAGAGATTGGATGGGGAGTAGTTTGGGAGATGGTTCTTTCCTGAAGGATCACACCCCCTCTGTCACACCAAGACTTGGCCCCAATTGCTGGAGCCTGATTCATACCAAAGGCCCATCACAGACTTCCCTTTAGGGAAGGAAGGAAGTGGGACAGATTGAACAGAGCAGAAACGTGAAGACAGAGACTCTGAATCGTCCATCACGGTTCCTGCCCAACAGCCCAGCATCACTGCAGGGCCACTCCTGTCTCTGCCACGTTTCCCACAAATTCTGCCTGAGCCGAGGAAGACAGGATGACAAAGAGTCTTCCTGCTGTCATCAGCGCTGGCTTCCTCTGGTCTAAGGGGGCAGGTGGAGCCAGGATACTGCATCTAACAGTGAGTTGGTCTCAGGTTAGGGAGAATTCTGGGGGGATCATGTTTCTTCCCTCCCTGCCATGCCCTCTTCAAAGGACAGATGCTCCCCATCCAGGGAAGGCCAGGAGTCACGCCTGTGCTCCCTTCTCTCCTGGACAGGCTCGATCCAGAGCAGCTTCTCAGACGAGCCCCTGCATCCAGGCTGCAGAGAGCCAGACCCTTAAGTCCAGCCACTCACCATCACACATGTGCATAGCCTACATGACTTTACCCTCATGGGGGGAATCCAGGTGGGGATTAGGAACCCATTCGGTACAAAGGGTTAAAAAGAATAATTCCCTAAGGTCAACATGTGGGGGAAATTACTTCTCATCAGTGAGGTGGGACAGCCGAGTAGCCCAACCCTTGGGCCGTTTCGGCAGCTGGGGATTGTAAGCAGGTCAGCAGAGGTACCAACATCTTGGGCCCTACCTCTGGCTAGAACATCCCCTGTGCTACCAACCTTCCCCTGGACGCAAGGGGCCAGCGGCTTTCAGCTCCCCAGCAGCAGCCTCTGCTGGTCGCTCCCCGCCTTCTGTCTTCCTGGCCCCTAGAAGCATGAGGGTGACAGCCCTCACTGACATCCCCGATTCCCGGGGTGACTGCACGGGCTGGGTATCATTAAACTCAACGCCACATCACATCGGCAAATGTCTACACTACCCCACGGGTCACTAATAATCCCCCCACTCCGAAGGTGTCGGGCATCTTCACACCCTTCTGAGGGCCACTGCTCTGCATCACCGACAGGACATAAGGATGCTCTTTTGCAAGTGAGTTTCCTCCCTCTCCCCACCCTAGGATCTCAAAGCACAGAGCCCTTTGCCTCATTTTAGAAGCAGGAGAAAAGTGTGTGCACTAGCCAGTCCCGCCACTAGGAGAGAAATTCGTAGAAAGAGAAAACTCAACCCAGCTGCCTCCTCTCTCCACTCCGCGCACACAACTGTTCCTGCCTCTGCCGATCCAAGAACGGAGGCTCCAGCAGGAGTCAGGGGCCCAGGAGCTCCTTCTGTTAGTTCTTACTGCCCTGACCCACTTTTTGTCTGTGGGCAGGACCGATGGGGTCCTGGCTTCTCCTAGTTTTCTTGGAAGGGAGGTTGCCGGGCCCTGGCTTCAGCCTAATGTAGATCCTTCCAGAAAAGGCGACCCATTGGTGGAGATGGCTGTCTCCAGAGAGCCTCTTCCTTCACCCCTACCCCGAGCAGCCACCTCCATGCCCCCTGGGCTTTGGTTGCGAATGGAGTCCAAGCATGTCTCCACGGCTCCCCTGGGTCACTCCCCTCAACCCCCACGTACATGATTAGAGTCAGTGCAGCCCTCGGGGATGATGTCTGGGGAAGAGGCAGAGGGGAGCCTGCCCCAGACCTTGACTCCTTGTGTTACCTCTTTCTCCCCACCAGACATGGACCTGAGGGCTGCTGTGTTCACCTCCTGGGCGGCAACCTGCCTTTCACCCTAGACCTGACAGATTTGGGCACTCCTGAGCCAGACTTCAGGACCCCAGCAGGCATCTCACAAGGTCCAGTCCAGGCCTTGGTGTCCACCCACAGGGCCCAGCTGTCCAGTCAAGGCAGGGTTTGAGTGGCTTTGGGCAGCTCCAACCAGACAAGGGTGGAAAGAAAGCAGAGGCGGGTGCGGTGTCTAGAGCAGGCCGGGCCCTCTCCACAGGGCAGCAGCGGAGCACGGGAGGCAGGCGGGGGGAGTATTGCTTGTACAGAGCTGGTGACTGTGGCGGTCTTGACTTCAGAGCCAGGCTCTCCATGGAGCCAGGAGGCTGGAGCCTGCGTGAGTCTGAGCTCCCAGACAGGGACCCTGGTCTGGAAATGAGCTAAATAATAGAGCCCCAGTGATCAACTTCATGCAGCTAGTCCTCAAAGGTCAGACAGGATGATCAACAGGGCTCAGAGCAAGTCAGCCCCGGCTCTTCTCATTCCAGCCAGCAGCCCTGCCCTCGGGGGCACCTCAACACTAGCCAGGCACCACCCCAGGACGAGCCTAGAGGCGCACAGGGCCACCCTCAGGGCCTGGGGAGGACACAGGTGCCTCCAGGGGCTGCCTGCTTTGGCAGGTAACATCCCCTCTGAGGCCGACCTCTCGCACATCACATCAAGACCCTCCAGTCTGCACCTCCTGAGGTCCACTGGGAGAGCTGCTTTGGCATGTTGGAGGCAAGGAGGCTTGGAGGGAGACAGGAGGTGAATGCTAAGGGAGGCACCAGAACTTCTCCTCCAAGGAACCTGGCCAGCAACCCTAGGAACTGATACCTCCTCAGATCTGACTTGCAGGAAGGAGGTGACGAGGGATAAAGCAATCTCCAAGCCCTCAGCTCCCCGGCACCTTCTACTCCCCGGAGCCCAGGCCGGGGCACTCTGTGAGATGCTACATGCTGCCGGTGCCTTCGGTGGGAAGAGCACCTGGAGTGCCGGGGGGAGAGGAGGGGTGTCTGGGTTCCCAGGGGGGCCTCATGTGGCCAGCTGCAGTGGAGGCTACATTCCTCAAAAAACAGCAGCAGTGCTGGGAGACAGAGAGGCGGAACAAAGAACAAGACAGAAAACTAAGCAAGGACCACCAAGAACAGGCACAGACGGGGGGCACATGGGCTCTGCCCTGAAACCAGGACCAGGTGGCATGGACCAAGGACCACGTCACCCACTTCCACCCCTGGACTCGGCGGGGGTTGTGTCCATGCAACACTCCTTTGTGTTTCATTTCAACAAGACACAGAGACATGAATTTCAGCCCATATAGTCACCAAGACCACCCAGACAAATGAACAGATCTAACATGATCACATACAGACACAAACGCACACACAAACACACACGCACACACACTAGAGTCTCCACTGTCAGCTGGGACAGGCCCAGTAGCCAACAGGCATGCAGGAGGGCAAGGGGTCCAGAAAGACGTGAAGACTATGTACATGGGAGGAGGTCACCCCTTCCCACACAGCATCCTGGCCTCTTCCTGAGGTCCTCAGGGGCACGAGGGGCTGGTGGCACTCTCCAGGGAGGACTGGGACAGGCGCCTGGTGAGGGAGCCAAGGGTGGAGTCTGCCACTGAGGATGTGGGGAAGAGTTTGTACCAGCCGGTGACCGCAGCACTCAGGTCCAGCTCATCCAGCATGATCTGGGCCATGCCCATGAAGCACTTGTGGTCCATGCGGCCGTAGTCTCCCCAAACAATCACCTGCCAGTGGGGAGGAAGAGAGCGGAGCTGAGCCACCTCTCTGACTCTAGGGCTGGGCAGTGGGCCCAGGAATCTTGTAGAGTTTTGCCAGGGCACTGATGGGACAGAGGCAGAACTCAGATTTCAAGCAACAGCTTGCTGAGTACTTCAGGTGCACTAGCCTCAGCCCTATAGACTTTATACACATTATCTCAACTGTTACAACCATCTAGGTAGATGTGCTATGTATTATCTCCACAAAGAGGAAATGCAGCTCAGAGAGGTTAATTAACTAACCCAAAGATACACAGTAATTGGTGGCAGCACTGAGATTAGAACTTGGGTCTGACTTCCAGAGCATCCCAGATGACAGCCTTCCTGAGGGAAGAGCAGACTGGGAGTCCAGGACCTGGGTCACAGCTCTCACTCTGCTGCCGGATCACAGGGACAATAAACACGAGCGCCAGGACAGGACGTCAGGTGGGAAGCCACCCAGGAAGAATGCATCTGTCAAACCCTGCTTCTACCTACCAGCTGTGCAAGCTGGAGGCAATCGAGTTCTCCCCCGAATCTCTGTTTCCTTATGAGTCAACCAGGGCAATAACATCTCACTGGGTTGTGACAATAAATGGATAAACATGTCTTAATGAGCCTGGCACAGGATAAATCATAAATGAAACAAATTTTAAGTTACAGTTTGTAGTCTTTGAGAGTCGCCCTGCCCCACTGGCCCCAGGACACACACCTGCAACACCTTGCCCTGGGGCCCCTCGTCAAAGAGCAGAGCCTGCTGGTACAGGGGGTCACAGGTCTTCTTGGTCACCTTCGTCTTCTTCTTGGCCAGGCAGGCCCCGTTCTCGAGCAGGTAAACCTTGATATAGGTGGCTAAGGGATGGAAGAAAGCATGATGGGGAGGGGTCCAGGGAAACGGCCATGGCCTGTCCCATCCCCTAACCTCCAGGTGATCGTGGAGGTGAGCAGGGTGAGTAGGATGAGCTGACCAGTGGGCAGCAGGTGGAAGAGACTGACTCAAACACCCACCCTTCCACCCTCCCCCCCTCTATCCCTGTTCACTGGCCTTGTAGGCAATCCGTGAATCCAGTGTTGAGAATACAGACATAGGCCAATGGGGAGCTGGGACTCACTAGATCCAGAGCTCAGCTATATATCCCTCCCTGGTAGGACCTCAGTTCCAAAATCCCTGTCCCAGCTGCTCTACCTCACCTGGGAGGGATTTGGAGCCTGGTTTGGGGGTCAGGCCCCGAGCCTCAATCACTTCCACCTCCAGCTGGCCGCTCCGGTCCATGATGGCAATGTGCACGTCCCCTGCAAGGGAGAAGAGGGGTGGTCCAGGCAGAGCCAGGCCATGGGGCAGGTCGGCCAGCTGCTGTGCAGAATGCCAGTCTGCAGAGGATGCTACCACACTGGAAAGGACAAAGATGGACAGAACTGCATGCTCCAGAGCTACTCTTGGGAGACCACTTTAAAGTGGCTGAGAAAAGTTTTGATAGGGCCCTTGGGGTGCAGTGGCAGCATGACCCTCAAGGGCATGCTTGGCTAACAAGAAATGGTTGCCAAACTCCCATGTAAGTCTGGTTATGGGGGTGGGAGGAGGGCTTCTGTTTCACTGAGCAAGTTTGGGGACAGAGTTCCCTGTCAGGAAGACAGGAGGTTGTGGGCTCAGTGGCTCTTCTCCACTTTCTGTACAGCGGCCCTCAGCCACTCCCCCTACATAAACATCAAACCGAGATGTAAAGGTTATCAGTTTGCAGAGATGCAGAGATACAAGTGTGCCCAGGATACAGACACGTCCGGGGGGGGTGAGGGCCTGCTGGTACCCTTGATAAAGGATGGAGGGAAGGCTAGCAGAGGTCCCAGGAGCAGAGTACTGAGAACTCCTCACGGTGCCCCAACAAAATGGATTATCCACCTGGGGCGAGTTCTCTGCTTGGAGTCATGTCATCCGATTTCTAGAACTCTTAGCTTTCTTTGACACAGGTTAGCAGACTTTGAAATTTTGCACTAGTTACTTGAGACATCCTTCAAAGGGGTGCAGCATCACAAGCCTGATTGCGGAAAAAGTTAAATGGGCTGGACTTTAAGTTCAGTCACCCATTTTAGATTCTCTGAGCCGTCATCCAATTGTTGGTATGTGCACACTTTGGAAGCTGGGGATTTGTTACTTTCAGGAGACATCCTGGAATTCATCCCTCACCTTCTAGCTATTCCTAGGGAAGGGGGAAAGGGGGAAGGTCGGGGAGGTCTCAGGAATTAATCTCTGTGTTTCACTGCTAACAGTCTGAAAAAGATGAGCCAATGCAAACCTGTCCTTCCCAACTTGGGACACCAGGGGGCACCACATACAAATGCTCTAGGCTGTGCTGCATTAGCCTTGTGGAAGTGGCTGGTTGCTCTCTCTCAGCTGTGGGCTGGGCCTAAGGCTAGGAAAGCAGACTCTCCAGGCCCTTAAAAGCCCGAAAGCAAGGGTTGGGAATTCGCCAAATCCAACCCAAGAGCCAGACAGGAGCTGACGCTTACCCTCTGAGGTTCCCTGTGCTCCCCTCTTCCAGCAGACAAAGGCTCCGGGGTGAGCCTATTAGAGGAAGACAGGGCAGTGCAGTGGGAAGAGCCCTGGCCTGGAACAGAGGCCAGCTCCACTGCGTGGCTCACCGCAGGGCTCTGTCTGCACTCGTCCTCCTCATTTGCTGTGAGGTCAAAGGTTAGACACTGTCTACAGGAGGGCTGAGTGCAGACGTCTGGGTCAGACACTGCTCAGGTCAGACTGATGGAGGGGGAGGCGGTGGTGGTGAGGAGGCATCTCTGGGGAAGCCAGCCTGGGAGGAGCTGCTTGAAGCCAACACTGCAGGGAACTAAGGGAGAGAGAGAGAGGGAGGGAAGGGGCCAGAACTGCAGCTAGGAGAACTGAGAATAGATTGTAGGGAGTACTTCCTAGCTGCAGGGAAGAGGGATGAGAAAAGTGCTAAAAGGCTTCCAGGTGCCAGAAACTGTCAGAAGTAACAAGTCAAATAAGACCCAGTTCCTAAGGAGTAAATGAAATAGTTTTGCAAAGCGTCACATAGGGCCTCGATAAATTGTCTTTAGATTGCAGAACTGAGGCAGGTATTACTAGTCCCAATTTACAGCTGAGGAAACTGAGGCTCAAAGAAGGGAAGTGACTTGCCCAAGGTCCCTCAGAGAGTCAGTGATGAAGCAAACCCCATTAACATCAATGCTGTGATAATTTTTGTTCACCATTTTATGCCCAACACTTAGCGCTGCCCGGCACACAGTAGGCAGTGGGAGAGCAGATGAGTGTGTGGTGATGTGAGGGAGAGAATATGCTGGAAAAGTAGCTGCAGGGTGGTGGCCGGCGTAGAAAGGCTGGAACCCCTTTCCTCTCTGATGAGGGAGGGACTGATGAGTGCTATGCTAACTCTGCCACACTGGCAAAAAAGCCCGCCCTGCCCTTAAGACAACTCACCCATTGGTGGCGTTGCCAGCGTCTGTCGCCCCACAATCTGGGCTGGTCCCAGCCCATCCAGGAAATCGCTGAACTGGCTTTCAGCCCCGAGCCGGGTGGTGGGGAAGATGAACCTGGAGAAGGAGGCAGAGGGGTGTGTGAGGGCATCTGGATGGCCCTGGGGCACTGGGCACTTCTATGCCTCAAGCTCTCCTCTGCAGAGTGTGAGGGTACTACTTTGGCTGGGGACAAACAGAACTGTTCATCTCTGCACATTAAAGAAAAGTACTTTGATGTCACTTGAGAAAAGAGACTAATAAACATAATTATGGTACTTAATCTTCAAGTACCAGAATTTCTAACGTAACCCTGAAAAGGCAGGGCTTGCTGGACATCTGTGTCCTCATCAGGGGCTGTTAATGCCAAGAATCAGAGATGCAGGCCAGAAATTTCAATTCCTGGAGAAAGTTGCAAGAACTGAGGTTTAGTTGATTGTAAGTTTGAAATCCAAATCAATAATGTAAGATGGTGCCCCAAACTGCAACTGAGACCAAAATAACATGATTAAAGGGTTGAGATGAATGACAATTGATGGTGGGTGGTCCATAGCTGTGAAGGGGACTGGAAATAGTAACAGGATAAACTGACAGTGATTGAAAGTTGGCCAGATGCCAGCAGCGTACTACGTGCTCCTGGTGTGTATCATTTAAGCCTTACAATCACTGTATGTGGCAGGAGCTATTAGCCAATTTTGCAGATGAGAAAACAGAGGCTCCAAGAGGTAGGAGACTTGCCTTGCCTGCAGAACAGAGATGATGCCCGACTATACAGGATGATGGAGAGGATTTGGGCAGATGGTGAATGAACAGTTCCAGACAAACAGAAAACAATCAGTGGCAGTTACAGCTGCTCTTGTTGTGAGCATCAAGGAAAATGTGCTACTTTTTCATGTCCTCAAGCCTAGACGTTCTGGGTGTGGCTAGCAGAGAAAGGACAGGTGAGGGAGGGCTGGCCCAGAACTGCTGAGGGGCTACGATGGACCAAAGAATGTTTTAAGATCTCCCAGAACAGCTCAGGCTCCTGCCTAGAGAGAGAAAAGTTGTCCCAGAACAAATCCATTGTTGGATCGTTGGCCTGAGTCTCCCTTGGCCAGTGACAGGCAGGAAGGGGAGACAGACTGCATATGCTTATCGGAGAGGGCCTGTGTCTCCCCAGCTAATCTCAGCCTCCACTCCCCAGGAGAGGGCTTCAAGGCCCATCCATTTTTATTGGCCACAGTCAGCAATAGCCTAATATTGCATTTTTAGGACAGAGGGATCTGAAAAGGTTAAATGAATAGCCAAGACATGGAAGGAACCTAGGTGTTGGTCAACAGGTGAATGGATAAAGATGTGGTATATATACAATGGAATATTACTCAGCCATAAAAAGGTGAAATGATGCCATTTGCAGCAACATAGATGGACCTGAAGATTATCATACTAAGGGACGTCAGACAGAGAAAGACCAATATTATATGATGTTACTTACATGTGGAATCAAAAAATAATACAAATGAACTTATTTACAAAACAGGGCAGACTTACAGGCATAGAAAACAAACTTACGGTTACCCAAGGGGAACAGGAGAGGAATATATTGGGAGTCTGGGATTAACAGATGCACACTACCATGTTATAAAACAGATAAACAATAAGGATTTACTGTATAGCATAGGGAACTATATCCAATATCTTGTAATAACCTATAATGGAAAAGAATAGAAAAAAAAGAATATAGATCTATACATATGTATAACCAAATCACCTTGCTGTACACCTGAAACTAACAATATTGTAAATCAACCATAGTTCAATTAAAAAAAAAAGGATAACAACAACAAAAAAGAAACAGACTCTTCAGGTCACAGAATTTCAAGAGTTTGGTATAGAGAGTGTAGAGATTGTGAACAAAGGTTATAGTGTCATATGGCCTTAATTCAAATCCTGACTCCACCAGCACTTAATAGCAGTGACCTTGGGAAGGTACTATACCCTCTTCCTGTGCCTCAGTTTCTCCACTTGTAAAAATGGAGAAAATGGTTGTACCAACATCCCTTAGGATTGTTGTATTAACTGAGACACCGTTTTTGGCCTGAGAGTGGCTGGTAGACCCCAGAGTAGGAGGCACTGATCTGAAGTGCCCAGTGATGCCCGTATATGGTAAGATGCACTAAATGCTAGCAGCTAGAAGGAGGTATAGTAGCGAGACATGTGATCACAGAATCTTAAATAATAGAGCCACAAAACCCTGAAATCACTGGGCCTTGCTGAAGCCAATTCAGAAAATCTTAGTCATAAAATGATAGTGTCATAGATTTAGTAGAAATCCAAGGGAATACCTAACCCAGAGACTTTCAAATTTTGGACTGCAAGCCATATACACATGTAAGAAATACACTTAACATCATAGACCTAGTGCATCAATATATATGTAAAAGTTCACAGGGTAATTCTTCCTTTCTATTTCCTTTTCTAATGCTGGTTTTGACCCAATAAAGTGATTTGACTTCCTGCCTGCGAGCCACCACCCACAGTTTGAAAAACACTAATCTAGTCCAATCTCCTTCCCTAAGCTCCAAGCAAGGCCACCTGTGAGAACTTCATTCCTCTGAGCCATAACAATGGTTTCAGATTTTAAAGGATATTAGGATCCCATTTTTCTTTCTAAACCTCTCCTCCGAGCTGGGCAGTGTGGAGGTGCAAAAAATACAGAAGGATGAACTGCTCCTGGGCCACTGGGTATTCAAACAGGAAACAGCTGCCTGGAGCAATAGAAAGACTGGGGCCCAGGCAGCAGGTGTCCAGGGCAGGGGGACACAGGGAGGCAGGGATACAGAGGAACCTAGATTATCTGGGGACCCAACCAGGAGATTTTCCAGCCCTGTGCTTGTGACTAGAGAACTGAGGAGGAGGGTGGGGACACGGTGGCGGTGGGCTGAACGCACGTGCCATCGGAGCTATTGCTGTTGGTGCTCCCGTCCGTGGACTCCCGGCTGCCCTGGCGAGGGACCCGACTCCGCATCTCCACGGCAACACCCGTCTCTGTGCTCCGCCGGATGTTGCTGCGCAGCTTCTTGGTGGCCCCTTCTGTGACCCGCCGCCCGCAACAAAGCACAGAGAGGGAAAATGGTCAGATTATCAATGAGGCTTATTTGAGAGCACTGCCAAAGTCATCCTTTCGGGAGGGGCAGGACGGGCTGGGCTCTGACTGGAGGCAGGGGCAATGCTGAGATAACCTCTACAGCTTGTCTGCACCCTGAACCCCTGGCCCTGCTTGGGGCAGTGACACAGACAAAGCAGACCAGGATGGCTGGAGGCAGAGTCGAGATGGTGGGGCTATGGGTGGAGAGTCAGCAAGCAGAGCTCAGCCCTGCAGCCCTCAGCCTCATCCCTGACAGGTTCCCCTGCCATATCCCTTCCCACTCAGTTGCAGTCCTTGCCCCAAAGGGCTAAGTTTCTTGAAAGTTTGCCTTCTCTGGAATTCCCACATTTGGTTTCCTTCTTCTAGGTACACCATGAACCCTATCATTCCCAGATATCACAACCTACCTTTGTGATACCTTTACAGCCCTATTAAAAACCCCTTGTGAGCCCTGGCCACTCTCAAACTAACACTCATTCTCAAAGTGGGTTGAATGTGGAGGGGGTTGTGTGTGGAGAGGTGGAGAGGCCATTAGAAAAACAAGACCGAGAAGGATGGCTAGGGTGACCTGAACTGACTTTGGCTTTGAGGGAGAGGTCTGCAGAACCTCAGAAGCCGTGTGGTGAGAGCTCACCCCCAGGGTCTCTGTACCTCCTGTTTGGGGAGCCCTCCACCTCCCAGCCTCCCTCTTCAGCCATGCAGGGAACATGGGGCCCTTTGCCTCTCCTAGTAGGGCACCATCCTGCCTGGGTTTCCATGGCAACCTCCTAGGCATTGCAGTGTGGTCCTTTTAGACACCCTGTCCTAATGGGGGTTGGGCAGGGGAAGCAGAAGACGGGCCGTGGGTTTGCAGGGACTTCCCCTCTTGAAGCTTGGCTGCCTGAGGAGCTTGATGGAGAAGGAAGTGGTGCTCAGATAAGGGCTGTACCAAAGAAGCCTTTTGCTGTCACTGGTAAGAATCCCAGGCAAATTAAGAGCAGGGGCAGAGGCCAGGGTGGGGTAGGCAGCACAGCCCCTGAAAGCAGTGGGCGGAGGGACCAAGTGGGATAGTCAAGAACCCAGTCAGGGAGAAGGGGGACTTTATTCCTCCTGCTTTGCCCTATTTATCTTTCAGGAAGTCCCACCAGGAAAGGAAAGGCTGAGAGGGCCAGCATCACTAGTGAATGGGAGGAGGGGACTGGGAGTTGGGGTGGTGGGGTGGTAGTGAGGAGGAATGTGTCTCTGAAACCACCCCAGCTTCTGGGATATTCGAAGAGCTACTATCAAGGAATCAATGAGCCCATCAATGTGTCTGTCTGTCTGTCTCTCACTCACACACATACACAGCCACATTAGCTCATATATATTTCCTTCACACAGGCATAAGCAGACATATATGAGTGCCAACAATCACATATATAAATATAGTGATCTCACATACAAGGTCATGTGTATGTTCACACAACAGTCACACAGTCATTAAAGGTCCTACCAAGTCTTAGTCATACGAACCCACGACATAGTCTGCCACATATATGTGACTTTCACACCATAACACTTGGGGTTGAACCCTTCCACTCAATCATATAGATGCAAATCCATAAATGGTGTGACCCACCACACATAGAGGGCTGGGCAATAATCGTGGGTGTGGGGGGACTTGCCCTGTCCCTTGCTCCTAACTGTCACATCCCCTCTAACCCAGTTAGAAGACAGATGGGTGTGTTGGGGCTACACTTTTCTCTCCCTCTCCTCGAATCCCTCCAGCATTGACTCTGAGCTGAAGTCAGAGCCTCACCACATCATGACCCCAAACCCCCTTTTCTAGAGCTTGGGAAAGCTTTGACCCATTTGGGAGAAAATTCACCTTCTTTGACCTGCCCAACCCACTGTAAGCCCCTGGGTAGGGGATGTAAAGAATCCTGAAATGCACCCCCCGCCCCACCATTTCACAGGTGCAGAGCCTGGTGTCCAGGTGCTCCTGGAGCCGGGGCTAGACCCTAGGCCCTCTGACTACCAATCCACTCATATGCTACTTTTCACTCCCCTCCGCCAACTCCTCATTGCTTTGAGAAGTGACTCAGCAGAGATTAAGCTCCATGTCTCTGGGTGGGAAGAAAGGTCTTGCAATCTCAGAGAAAAGTCCTCTGCTGTCCAGTCTCTGAACCCTGTTGATCTGAGGAATAACTTTATGTAGCCTCTGCCCCTAGAAAACTGGGCCAAGTTGCTCGCAATAATTCTATGGTCCTTGGAGACCAAAAGACATCCCATCTGTTCCACCACATAGAAGGGAGAAACATTCACAGCCTCCAGCAGTACTCCCCATGAGATCTCCTAGCAGGATCCTGAGCCCTCATCCCACCCTGGTCCAGAGCCCAGAGCCTAGGAGGGGAGAGTTGCTGTCCTTGGTACTGAAAAGAGTTGCTCCATTTGGGTAGGGGCCGGGACAGCCCAGGACAGCCCTGTATGGACCCAGCCTAAGGCCATGCCAGAACCCACCTGTGTCCTGGGAGCCCAGAGTTCTGACCCCAACTTCCTCACTGCTTCCACAACTTAAAGAATGTTAGATCTAGGAGGAAGTTGTGAGATAACCTTGTAGTTTCCATTTCACAGAAGAGGAAACTGAGGCCCAGTGGAAAAGTGACTTTCCCAAGGTGCCATGAGGAGCTAGAGCCAAGACTAGTCCTCTAAAGCTTCAGGGTGAGTTTTTGGAAGACCACCTCAGGGCAACGTGAGGAATAAGTGGAAAGGGCAGGGAGGAGGCAGGGGAACTAGAGAGGAGGCTGTGCAATAGACCAGGCTTTGAAACAAAGAGGAGGGGATGGGTGGGGCCCAAGCCAATGTAGGGCATGGAGGCCCCTGGGAAGGGCAGATTCAAAGCCCAGAAGACTGGGTCCAGGAGAGGAGTTCCTCCCCCACTTCTTACAGCCCTGCCCTGCAGGGGCCTGAGCTATGCCACCAAGGGCAGCAGGGTCACCCTGCTAGGATCTTTTCCCAGAAGAGTTTCTAAGGCCAATGCCCACAGTGAGTCAGCCCCATACATTCCCTTGGCGCCAGACTCTCCCACGCAGGAAGGAGCTCTAAGCAGGGACATGGGCAGCCTCAAGGCCTGGGAGAGAAAAATGGGGATAAGGAATTATAGATGGGAGAGGAGTATGCTACAAGAAAGGGGCAGAGCTGTGGAGGCCAAAAAAGTCACTTCTTTTCTGGCCCTACTGTGTGACCACTGGTAATAATAACACTGACAGTTTACCAAGTGTCTACTATGTGCACGAGGCTGGGTGTCTTTGCCTATCCTATCTCATTCACTCTGCTTGCCAACTTGGCAAGGCATGTTTCATTGTCCTTATTCTACAAACAAGGACACAGGCTCAGAGAGGTGAAGTTACTTGCCTGAGTCACCCAGCTAGTAAATGACAGGGTGTATCTCCGAAGGCCAATTTGAAGCCCTTCTCCAAAAAACTGCCCTCTCCTCTCCAGGCTCTGATGCCTCATTGATAAAATGAGTACAGCAGACCAGATGATCTCCAGGGCCCCTTTTTGCTCTGACATTTGGCAACTGGATGATTCATAACGACCTTTGGTTAAAAGGGCAGGGGGCATTCCCCTGGCTCAGGACCCAGGCCATCAGCTGTGCCCTTGCACACCACACAGACAAGTGATCCAGAAGCCCCATCATCATTCATCTCCCCTCAAGGCTGGAGGTCATCCCGGTGTCTGCTCCAATCCCTGCCTGCTGACTGTAGAGTTTAGATAGGTGGACAGTCCCAGGCAGACCACTGAAATGTCTCCCAGTGACTCAGGCACCTGCCCTGGCCTTGGAAGATTGTCTCTCCAAATCATTTGGCTCTGAAGAACACTTTGGATCTAAAGCTGAATCAGCCAATTCAGCCAGAGATCAGCAGGGCTTGGTTTCCTGGAGCCAGACTCCTGGGGCCTAACACCTCCTCCATCCTCCTAATCTTAGTCCCACCAACTTGGTTCTGTCCCAGCCCAACTCCTGGATTCCCAGATCCCATTGCCCTGACGCCCTAGTGTCTAGCATATTCACAGAAGCCGTGCTCACCCTGGGGCACTAATAATCTCAAGCCCCCTCCCCATCTAGCATTTCTCTGAGCCAGAAACCACATCACAGCTTGACTGCTGGAAAAGACCATCCCACATGCTCCTGTGGAGGGCTTTGTAAAAATCTATTTTAAGGCCTGGAAATGTCCCCCACCCCCACCCCAACTGGGAGTCTTGATGAGCTTTCTCCCCGGATCCTCCGGCGCCCCCACCCCCTCACCACCCCCATCCAGCTGCCTATTTGAAGGTTTCTTAGGGAAGTTGTTACTCTGAGCGAAATAAGCAGGAAGAGATTTTAAAACAAAACCAGCTGGTGTCTGGGCTGATGCCACGAAGTGAGCAGGTCTTGGTGGGGAAGGCTGGCTTCTCTGTGATGTGAGCTCCAGGTGAGACTGTGTGTGACCAGATGGGTCACCCACCAGTCTGTGATTCTATAACTAGCTGTCTGAGAAAGTATAATGTATTTACCAGGCTGTAGCTGTTAGGGTAGTGTGTGAATGTGGCTTGTGAGGTATGTGCATGCGTATGTGTGACATGTTTCTGTCACCACAGGCCATAGAGTGTGCATGTAACTGTGCTTCTGTGACCTGAGTCTGAGTATCTGTATTCAGAGGACTATGTATGGTTTGCATTACTGGTTTTATATGTGACCGTGTGCAGCGTGAACTAATGTCCTGTGCTCTCCTGGCAGCAGGGGTAGCTTTCCAGAGCAACCGAGCATGCTATTTACATGACCGTGCAAGACATGTGTCTTTATGTGTATATGTCTCTCTTGTGGCTTTGTAACACGTGTGTGGCTATTTGTCCTTAGGAAACTTGGAGATTACAGGTGAGACTGAATCTTGTGGGTATGTGCGTCTATGCAGTTGTGGTGTCACCTAAGGACAGTGCCAGGAACACGATGGTGGTTTACTGAATAATTGCTAATTAGTGTGTAAGTCTGTGCATAAAGGCAGCAGAGTATAAAGATTGGGAGCATGAACTCAGAAGCCTAACTGCTGGAGTTTGAACTCAGATCCCACCACTTTCAGGTGTGTAGTTTGGGGCATCTTGCTTCTCTTCTCTGTGCTTCAGTACCTGCCTCGAAGAGTTACATGAGGATTCAGTGAGTTAGGACACAGACTGGACCCAGAATGGCACCTGGTATGCGGTAAGTGCAACATAAGTGTTGTGGGCGTGGGGGAGCATACCCACAAGGACAGTCCCTGGTGCCCTGTCACTGCGAGGTGCCCCACCCCAGTCTGGGTGCCCCATGCTCCTCACCAGCTTGTGGGAGCTGAAGTGTGCTCTTGCTCCACTGGGTTAGGCCCACGATGGCCACCATCTTGGCCCCAAGGCTGCTGCGCCGCTTCTTGGCAGTGGTGGTCCCGGTCCCGTCCCCAGCCTGCTGGGATCCGCAGATTTCGCCGCTGATGCTGGAGCTCCGCACCACGTTCCTGGAGGCCGCAGCCGAGTCTGGACCTGGCTCCCCGTTAAACATGGTCCACGGGGCGGCAGGGCTTCAGGCAACCCTGTGGGGGAGGGGGAGAGACAAAGGGGTCCTACATCAGACCCCAGGCCACTCTACCGCGGCCCCACCGCTTCCTAGCTGTGTGACTTTGGGGAAGGCGCTCAGCCTCTCTGAGGTGGTGAGGATTAAATGAACAAATCAATGTTGAGGGTGTGCAGAGAGTCTGGCTCAATGAACAGGACTGACTATTCTCATTAGCACATGGCTGCCGGACAAGTGACCTGGTTTAGCAGTGAAGATGGAGGCTGGGCAGCCATGTGACCCACTCTTGAATTCCAAAGGCCTCTCCACACTCACCGTGTGACTTCAAGACTGAACATCTTGGGGTTTCAGTGACCACCTCAGCAAAACGAGAAATAAAAGCACTTACCTCATGGGATTGTTGTAAAGAGTAAGTTAGATAGTGCAGGTGGGAGTGCCTGGAACAGTGTAGGCACAGAGTAAGTATTCAGTAAGTGTGACTGCTGTTTGCATAGCCAATAATGAGAACAGGGAGAACAAAACTAGCTCCAGCCTGAACAGACTGTGGAAGGGGTCTTCCTGCTTGAAGGGGGTGGGACAGAAAAGCGTACAGAAGCAAGAAAAATCACCCTTAATTGCACTGCCAAGAGGCAGCCACTCTAGGCATTTTAACCTATTTCCTCCCAGTCTCTTTTCTACACATTAAAAAAATAACTGAACTTGTACTGCAAATACAATTTTATATCCTGGTATTTTTGCTTTAATGCTATATCACAAGAATTTCCCAACATCATTAACCCTTTGCAGAAATGTTTAAAGGTACCATAATGTTCCATTGTATGGAGGCAGTATAATTGACTTAAATATTTCAATAGTTACCCCTTAGGTAAATCCAACTTTCTCCTTTCTCTCCTGTCTTTTAAACAATGCTGCAATAAATATCTTTCTACACTGATTTTTATCTGCTTATTTCCTTAGGATTGACTCCTAGAAATGGAGAGGCTGGGCTAGTGAGTGTGAATACTGCTGCTAGCCTTCTCCCCGGAGCCTGCTTCCTGACAGAGTGCTGGTTTTGTCCAGGTACCACCTCATCCTTTGTTCTAGAGGCAGGTCCTGATTTGTTTAAACCAGTGAATGGCATTCACCTTGGTAACTCTTACTGGTCCAAGGTTAGGCATATGACTAAGTTGGCCCAATGTGACTTAAGGGGAAGATGTGGACTCCATGCTTACAAGAGCGGTGGGTGTCTCTCCCTCTATCTCTGTCTTCCCTTCCTCACCCCTCTCCCAACAAAGGGCCTAGCCTAGGATGAAACCAGTGCTGCTGAGGGCAGAACGGCACAGAAACAGAAGGGAACTCAGGCCACCCTGCAGCCAGCCTTCTCTGGCCTTCCAGTTACATGAGGCAATGTGTTTTCCATTGCTTAAGAAGTTTGAATCAGGGTTCTCTGTTACATCCAAAAGCATCCTGCCTAATACCGAGGGCATAAACATTTTTCTGATTCTTGGAACATATTGCTAAGTTCCTTTCCAAAGTATACAAATTTACTCTCTAATCCTTCATTCAACAAATATTTAAAGGGAATACAGCTGATACTGTATAATAACTATAAATGGAGTATAACCTTTAAAAATTGTGAATTACCACACTGTAGATCTGTAACTTATATAATACTGTACATCAGCTATATTTCAATAAAAAAGATTGAAAAACAAAAACAAAAGTCAGCTATCCCTAAATTGATCTATAGATTCAGTGCAATCCCAATCAATATTCTAAAAGACTTTCTTATAGAAACTGGCAAGATTCTGTCCTAAAATAATCAAAGCAATTAAAAAACTTTATCCATTCATTTTTCAAAACTGAAGTATAAATGACCTACAACACTATGTTAGATCCAGGTATACAACACAGTGATTTGATAGTTCTTTACATTACAAAATGATCACCACAAGTGATCCCAAGTTTTAACTATTACTTATATTCATGCTAAGGGTCATCATTTTATTTAATAATAAACATTGGAAAAATATTTTTTCCTCTGAGTATAAAATTAAGAAAAAATTTAAAAAAAATGTAAGCCCCTAAAATTCCAAGGCCTATGCTGAGTGCCAACGATATAGTAGTGAGCCAGGCTGACTTCATCCTGCCCTCCCAGAGCCTGCAGTCCACCAGGAGGAGAAACAGTGAAAAACTAATTATGCAATTAAATATTTAATGGCAGTTCCGACCAGTGCTAGAGAAGAGGACAGAGGGTGCTCGTGTGACAGGCTGGGATCTGGGACCCTTTGCTGCAGTGCTTGCCCTGGACAAATGTCTCCTGGAACAACAGAAAAAAAAGAAACTCTAAGGGACTAAAAATAACTACATGCATGCACAGTTGGGGCAAATTATGAACAAGATACAGAAAGACCAAAAATCCAACTGCCACTTTTGAGGTGTCGGGGAGTAAAAGCAGGGCACTGTGCATGATCTCTGTATACAGCACCACCAAGGGGTGGGCAGACCACCTAAGCCATCCCTCTGACTCAACTCGTGGATCTGTCCCTACCTTCACCCCACTTAAGGGGCCAGCTTGCCCCCAAGCAGGCAGTGAACAAGGGAACCTGTTACTTGTCTCCCTCCCTCAGGCTGCAGCAGAAGTCCCAATAAGCCTTGCCTGAATTCCTCATCTGGCTTCTTATCAATTTATTTTGATTAAAGAGTCCAAGAAGCCAGGTTGGCAGCACCGGGTGCCACTCTAGGGGAACGGGACAGCAGGTGCCTATGGCTCTGTGTTTTGCAGAGGTGGGATCTCCTGCTGTTGGCCTCTACAACTTGGCTGGAAGCCCGAAGCCCAGGCAGAGTACCAGAAAGATCCGCTGTGGGCAGGCTTTGTGCCTGGCCCTTCCCAGCTCTGTCCTGGCCCCCAGTGTTTTCCCCAAGGCAACTCCTCATCCCAGGGCTCAGGACCCTGTCACCCTGAGGGAATCTGACTTTTCAGAAGGACACAGAAAGGGGAGGGGAAATAGGGGTGGGAAGGGAAGGCACCACTCCAGCTGATCAGGAAGACAGTCCCCAGATAGCTGAGAATGGCTGCCTGGGCTCCCGGTCAGCATGGCTCCCGCCGGCCTGGCAAATGTGGGCTGACAGCAGAGATGAGTCAAAGCCGCGTCTTGCCTTCTTTGCGGCTGTCTGGGCTGTTCTCACTGGCCCTGTGACGTGTGCAGAGTCTCAGATCATATTTCTCCATCCATCCCCCATCAACCTCGCAGCCAATGGAAAGTCCCTCCGGACCTGGGCCTATGATGACCTCTTTAGTTTCCAATTCTAGCACCAGTTGGTGTGTTCTGTGGGTATCTGCATGGTCTTCCGGTGAACGGTGGGAGAGGGCTTATCTGATACCTTGAACTGGCTATGGACTAAGACTAACTTTCTCCTTAAAGTATTTCTGTTAGGTGTGTTGTTATCTCTGTGTCACAGATGAGAAAACCGAGTCTCGGAGAAGTCAAGGTCTCACCCATCCTACTCAGCTAAGAAGTGGCCAGGCCTGGACTCCTGTTTCCACAAAGAGACAGACACACTCAGCAGCCCCCACCCCTTCAACCCAGAGCTCACCCAAAGAGGGGGGCCCATCCCTCCCGCTCAGGCTTTGCCCTGGGTCTCTGAGCTCTTTGAGAAAACTGCAAGCAAAGTAGCCACGGTGAGTAAACCGCCTCTGGCCCAGGTTCCCACGGCCGGCGTGAGCACTGAGGGGCGGCAGAGACGCCACTCAGACCACAGCTGGAGAAGCAAGTGCTTCTCTGGTGCCGCTGACAGGAAGCTCAAGAACACTGCTCCCAGGGGGAGAGAAGGGAAGAGGGCAAGGGACAAGATTCCTGACCCTGCCAACCCCAGGGCTCATGTTTCCTCATGAATAATGGATGGAACTGACAAGCA